GATAATAGTTAAATTAAAAGGCAGATTTGGATCGAGAAATATATTTAAGATAAATGAAAAAAAAAAAAACTGTAACAACAAAATAAAATTAGTATAAAAACAATTCGTTATGAATATACAGTTAATTAACACTTAATTACATACCTCGTTACTGAATTTTTATATAACATCAATATATTATGTAGTTTAAAAATATAACATTCAATATTAGTAGTGTTGATGCCGGAAGATTTTTTCACGAACTGACATTAAGAATGAGCATGACGTGTTTTTTTTAAATTTCAAATTACGAAAAGCGAATAATAAAAATAATGAAAATCAGAGACAAAAAGTTTGGATGCGGGAACCTAGAACAAAATGAACGCGGGTACGACTCACCATTACACGACTATGTCCTATTTAGATGCTTAAATCTGATTTACATAGGTGGTTCTCTGATTTACATAGGTCTTTATAAAGTAAGAAAGTATTATAACCCTTATAAAAAAATTGACGTGTGAAACATTTGACACGGGTCTAATTATTTTAATCACACGACCATGCGATGGCGATAGCGTTACAACACGCAAACTTCCATCAAGCCGGCAAGGTCTTATGAGTTAGTTAGTATTTTTAAAGAATATAATTGTATTTTAAGTTAAAAATGAGGAGAAAATGAGGAGAAAATGAAGATCTCTGATCCAACATAATATCCATGTTATCTTGGATACAATTTATGGAGATTGTTGAAAAACCTTTTTTCTTTGGTCAGACTTATACAAATAAAATCCAACGCGACCTGATACGCATTCTTTTTGCGTTAAGTAGGAATGCATTTTAAATATGTGTCTCCAGCGCAAAAAAACACTAAACGAAATTATATATTTTTCTGACAGTGTTAAATATAGTAATACCGTTAATCATACTTTTATGCTTATTATATTTATAATATTGCTTAACGTAATTATGAAAAAGATAAGTATTTTATACTCGTTCTCTCCTCACCGCAAACAACTCGTGACGTCACGCCCCTCTTGCTCATATCAGAGCTTTGAGAATTGAACCTTATGCTTTGATAGGACGATATTAGTTTCAGAGGGCCGTGTCGTCACAGCGACGCCATGACAAAAGTTCGCGTTTTCGCGGGAAATTTTGACGCTACATTGAAGCTACATTTATTTTTAGATTTTAAACCGATTATATTTTTTTAAAATATTTTTTAAGATACAGTTCATGTATTTCTATTGAATATTGAAAAAGTTGTCTACACCCCTATTATTTCATCTGAAGTCATCTCGAATCCTTGAAGTGATACGACATAACTTCCATGCAACTAAGTTGCAGTAAATAGTTTAATAGAGAACGTAACAATGTAATTAATCACCCGAGATCATCAAGATTCCCGTCTAGTATTTCCTATCTTCGGATATTTTATCATTTAATATAGAATAGTTAATTATAGAAAACTGTTATATACTATATAGAAAGTTGTTTTCTAATATAGAACAGTTATTTTCATATTATCTTTGACTTGTATAATATCTCTACATAGTATCCTGTTTCTTATGCGCGTAACATAACTGTACCTATTTTATTATAAGGGTAAATGCAATAAAAATTGGTTTTAAAGGTAAAGTTAACCTTACTCCAGTCTGATATCTTGTCCTTTCAGTAAATGTCATATAAAACTGTATTTACGGTTATATTTTCATTTTACTCGTAGTTTCCGAATTCTTTTTATTTTCGAAATCGAAATAATAGCATAGTTTTCACTTCTGTAAGGTAGACAGTTAATAATTTTTATGATAAAAGAATTGAATAGTTTACGACTTATTCATTTAAAAGAGTCTATGTCGCGCTATTCGACGTCGTGTATATTAATCTCATTGCCATGTTTTATTATTTTACTAAACTTTTAATTAAGAATATTTTTCAATAAACCAAATGTGAAATTTATCATAAATAATATTTTTTCAATAATATTCAATTACTATATTATAAAATACATAAGCGAAACAATGACTTGCTGTATAATATAAAAGGAGTCTATAATAGGAGTGGCGGATTATATAATAGGAGGCCTAAGGGATACAGCTAGTATTTCCACGTCATTTTAATCCTTATGATTACTTAATACTCGTATAAACAGTAACTTGTGTATAAAGCTTCTTATATAAAAATAAAATAAAAATGTACTTATTATAATATTTGTTCAATTATTCTTAATGAAAAATGAAATATTCTGGGTAGCTCAATGGTTAGAGCAGTCGCCCGGATTACGAAAGGTCATGGGTTCAAATCCCATCTCAGGGTGCCAGGGACCAAGTGGATTTTAATAAAGTGTAATATAGTTATAGGATAGTTTCAACATACATTAGTGATAGTTACTATTGTGCCATTAAACTTATAATTGTGTCCTGGGTAGTTTACAGCTACTTACATATAGAATAGAAAATGATACCGTTTTAATTACACCGACTTCAATGCGATATATGTATTGAATAATTAAATTAATTACCTTTTTTATTTTTTTGTAGGTCTATAACTACAATTCTTAAATAATTTTGTGAAATTTATTTTTTTAAAATAAAATATCTTACATTTATAATAGGGTTTTAGTGCAATCATAAAAAAACCGTTAACAATTTAAGTTATACATTTTATGGATGAATTGTTACTTACAATAAATGTTATTTTATGATGGCTATAGTACAAATAATTGACAGTAATGTACGTATTATAAAGATAACAATAGTGTTCTTACGTCAGATTCATTAGATGTCAAGAAGAAACTGAAATAAAGATATTGACTAATTTAACTATAATAGGTGTAAAGCAAATCTCCTCTGTCTAATCTCTTTGTAGATGTAAAAGTATTTTTTTTTTTTCATAAGTAAAATAGGCAGTGAAATGATTTATATGGAGCTATCTTCTTTTATTCGGCCCCATTAAGGTTTTAATTAAAATAATGCGTAGAAATATAAACAGTATTATTTTCTCGTGGGATCTCAGGTTTAATGTTTAAAAGCACTTAGTTAATTTCTTTATTTTTTACTTTACAAAATGAATCTTACCGAGCCTACAATATCAAAACAAATAATGTAACAGTTTATTTGACAATTTAAATCAATTTTTATATAATAAAAAAAAGATCACATAAAATTATTTCAAATAAAACGCAATTAAGTACATAATATGAAGTGTAAAATATTTTTTTTATGTTTTGAAATGGATCTGTTGTAATGTCAAGTTCATTACCTTTGGGTATGTGGGTATACTGCCGAATAAACCTCGAGCCGCATAGCATACTACTCAAACAGAAGTTTATTTTTGTTACGAGTGTCACATTTATGTACGACGCGCAAACCTGGCCGTGTTACACGCACGTGTGCGTCGTAGTAAAGCCGCGCGGCAACTAAACATTTTACGCTACGGCCGATATGAACGGCTACGAGTGACGCGACTGCTACAAGATGACTCAGTGACGACGAAAAGCTTATTAAGAAGTTTGATCGCAATTATGAAGTTTTCAATTATGAGCTCGCTTTATTAAGAAATGTTAGTGGATGCGTCTTCGGGTGAGTGAAATGAACTGTATCCCTATTGTATATGATTGTAGATACTTATCTTGAAATTGAGTTGTGAAAAGATTTAAATTAATTTGTTTATATCGTTTAAGATTTTATTGATTTTGCACTGTAAAACAAAAGTGACCTTATATTTGTATAATGTTAATTGAATGAAAAGAGGAGATTTGATTATTTGTTTATTCGTTATCTACCTACAGTTATTAATAATAAATGTTTGCTATAGAATACAAAAATAATAACATGTTTTCATTTATGCTTATCAATCATAACATATCGATGGGCGGGCAGTTTAATTTTTAAACCACTTTAAATAAGCTTTTTACTCTTATAATAATTGTTTATTTTAATTACGTTGTTTTAAATGCTAAGGGAAAGCATCGCGGGTGTTAATTTTTGTATTAAAATATGATGAAATTTTATAATAGATCCTATCAGATACATAACAAGTACAAAAATGTATAAGGCTCACAACATAAATTTCAAACGAAAAAGGTTTACCCTTTGATATAGAATCCTAAAAATGTTGACTTGCAATAATGCTAAAAATATTGTTTCAAAACTAATTTCATTTAAAATATATATATACTAGGTAATGTTTCACATAGTCATTGATAATTTAGTCTTCTAGTTTTTTCCACTATAATTGCGATGGAATTGAAGATGGACCGAATAGGTTTGAAAAAAGGATGATACGGCTCTGCCTTTTTGTTCTTTTTCAACAAAGCGCAGTACTTCCACACCCTATCTGGAAGTTATTATATTTTTATGAATAAAATTTTCTATATTAATTTTTGTACATTATTATTTAACTTGCAGCATATGTTGTCCGTTAATACAGAAATATTAGTTACTTACTCCATTATGAACATCATTTATTTTAGTTTTAAATTTTCTAATTTAAAAAAGGTTTTTTTCTTAATTGTTCCACCTCTATAACATTAAACGAGCTAAGCGTTTATTTTCTAGTGTATTTACCAAGAAATTTATATAGTGCGATGTGTAATAAAGGAAGGCTACTAGCAGCTTTACGACTTCCCCGTACATTTTGTACGCTTAATAAACGCCGGCTCATGAGGTTAAGCCTCACACGCAATACGAGTTAATTATTATTTTATACGTAATATAGAATAAGATGGCACTTAATTAATGAACCTCATGCTTACGTGGTATTAAGCTATAATTACACATTATGTGGGCACGATAGTTTTCATCACCTCGAGTTACAGATGTGTATTATACACAACATAACATACTTGTAAAGATCTAATTGGTGTCAAAAATATGCGCTTTCTATTACCCGAATTTTTCAATAAATGAAATTTTAAAAAGATGTAAAGCTTCTGAGTTTGATTGATTGTAGAAGGTGATTCGATTATAAAAATTCCTTTACCTACGAGAAGTTACACCGTTGCTACAAATCGCGGGAATGTGTATCACTAACGTGACATTTATAGAAAGAAATTGGCAGATCCGCTATATCTTATAATGAATGCGACAAGGAACACAATTTGAATTTCAGCAACTTATTAATTGATGGGCCACCAAGGCCTCTTTATTTAGCAGATTCTTTATCGTCTAAAAATAGGCGTATAAATTTCCTATAAATTTAACCAATTTTTTTAATTCATTTGACATGTTACTGATCAAATATAAAAATTACAGGAATATTAAAACTATCATTGATATAAACGTCCACATTAAACTAAACAACACTGACTCGAACTCATCCACTTATTTAGATTTGTTGGCAATACGAGTACATGGTACACCAGGACATATACCTACACATGATAAAACTTGTCTAGATCACATTATTTTGAAAACAAGACATAAGGCTCACTGTTATGTAGCGGAAACTTCTGTGACCGACCACGATACATTAATTTTAATATTTGCTCAGAACGTTTTTTCTAAAACATTACCCGCTCAGATTATTAAAAAAATTTCAAAGCTAGATCTAAGTACTATATATATTCTATAAAAGACGATAATGTCGCCACCTCGCATCTCTAATCTTCACTTAATACATTTATAGCAAAAACCACTTCCTGCGTTAAAACACCAAACCGGAAATAACATACTATAAACATGGGTTACTCCGGGGCTTCTTATGTGTATTAAAAATCGTAATCAATTAAATTAAAAATCCAAAAGAAATCCTAATAATTAAATAGTAAAAATAACTTTGTATTTTTACGGGGATGTTTCCCAATGATTTCGAAAAAGCTATAATTCATCCTATATACAAGAGTGGTGACAGAAGCTATGTAAATAACTACAGACCAATATCAACTTTACATACAATATCAAGTTTTTTTGAAAAAGTAAAAAATTAAAGACCTATAAATATTTTGAAACTAACAAATTGTTATCTCCTTGTCAATACGGGTTTCATTCTCAACTATCTTCTAAAGAAGCTGTACATGCATTAATATATTTTGTAGTGGATAGCCTTGATCATGACAAAAAAGTAATTGTAATATTTCTAGACCTAGCAAAAGCTTTCGATACAGTTTCTGTCCCTCTCTTGATAAGAAGCTGGGAGCTCTAAGAATACGTCAAATGCAACAAAAATTGCTTGTTGATTATCTTACCAATCGAGTCCAACTAGTAAAAATAGGTGAATATTGCAGTGATTATCGCCAAATAACCCATGGAATTCCATAGTCGAACTCCATAGACGGTCCTATCCTTTTTCTAGCATATATAGACGATTTGTTTAATCTGGAACTCCCCAATGGAAAAACTGTTTTTTTTCACACACGGTACGGCACTTCTATGTGCTGGTGAATCGTGGAGTGAGGTCTTTCAGTGTGCTCAGATTGGATTTGTCAAGGTTTTTGATTAGTTGAGTATTAATAGACTATCTTTAAAGATAGATAAATCTATATTTATTATTTTTGTCATAAAAAGATCTTCGTTGTCACAGTCTTTAGATAAATCAATTAAAGTTCATAGTTGTGATAATTCATCAAACTCCAACTGTTCATGTCCAAAATTAGAAAAAGTAAATTCCATTAAGTGTTTGGGAGTAATAGACAATACAGCAAGCTTTCATGAACACATAGATCTCATTACCGCCAGAATTAGAAAACTGATGTATATATTCAAAATTCTCCGATATGTAACCGATAAGCACATCATTATAATTATTTATTTTGCATTATGCCAATCACAAATAACGTATTGTATTACTAACTGGATGGTACTTCAAAATCTATACTTTTAAAACTCTTAAGAGCTCAGAGAGCTGTACTTAAGGTACATTTTCAACATCCCACCAATGACCTTTATAAGCGATGTATTTTTTTTAAAGCACTTTTTTGAAAGCACAGTTCTTAGGAAACACTGTCAGACAGTGTACAACCCAACTCTCTTAGCTTATAGAAGACAAACTCACGTAATTTGTGTATGTACACAGACTGACACTAAATTTTCCAAGAAATTCTTTGAATTTCTGGAAGTTATTTATATAACAATATCAATATCAATCTACAAGCATAACAAAAGAAAATCTTAATTGTCAATTCAGGTCTGACTACAACAACTTGACTTTTTTTTATGGGATAGGGGGTAGACGAGCAGACGGATCACCTGATGGTAAGTGATTACCGTCGCCCATGGACACCTGCAATACCAGAGGGGCTACGAGCGCGCTGCCGGCTTTTGAGGGACGAATATGATCATAGGGAGGGAAGGGTTGAGGTGTAGAGGGAAGGGAATAGGGAGGGGTTGGGCCTTCGGTACCCTCACTCACACGACGAAACACAACGCAAGAGTTGCTTCACGTCGGTTTTCTGTGAGGCCGTGGTATCACTCCGGTCGAGCCGGCCCATTCATGCCGAAGCGTGGCTCCCCCACGTCATTACGATGCCAAGAGGACGAGGGAAAAGCATCGACTACTACTGGCAGCACTACATAATTGTCGATTTCACTACGGGCAACCCTATTTGTCAGTTAGCTGTAACTGTATATCATCATCATCACTATCATCAGTCCTTTTACGTCTCCACTGCAGGGGCCTAGGCCTTCCTTATGGATTGTTAAGGAGGATGGGCCATGACACTCCACGCTGGCCCAATGCGGATTGGAAGGTATTAACGACTGCAAATGCAGCCGAGATCTACGGCTTAATGTGCTTTTCGAAACACGGAGTAGCTCGAGATAATAATTTTAGGTCACCCATCCCGTGACCCTTGAGAAAGCTGCTTAACGACAACGATCGCGGGCCGCGGTGCTTACCCACTACGCCATCGAGCTACTATGTATATAAATTGAAAAGAAATGTGTTTGAAATGTGTATTACAAATATTTAAATGTATTTGTTACAAGATTTCTTTTTCAAATAACTTTGTAGTAAAAGGAACAGACATCTTTTTTATTTATAAAAATTTCTAACTAGATCCTGTCAAAGAGAAATGTTGGGTGGCACAGTTCAAATACAAGCTCAATTTGGAATTAATATTGAAATTAAATCGTTAAGGTTTTTACGAGCATTCGCCAACTTAAAAGAGAATTAAACATTCAAAATGTAGATTCTGGAGCTTTAAGAGGAATGAGTAATATTAAAAATTATCGGTATTAGATTAAAAAAGGTTCAAGTAAAATAGGTAGGTGCGCTTTTTAAGCCCATTTCATTATTAAGATTTAGCACCAGTTTCAAGTAACGATTTGTTAATCGAATTTCACAGAACAATTAAAATTCCATTCTTTTTTAAACTAACGTTAGTAGTTATTAGGAATTTATTGAACCGGATCTTTAAATAATAGCTTTTAAAAGGAAAATTTTAAGGACCTCTATTGTTGGACTGTTTATTAGTTGAATCTTATTGTGTTAAAATACGTAAGTGTTAATATCACTTGATGTCAGTTGCACCAACTTATTTTAACAATAACATACACGTTGAAGCACTTACCGGCTAAGCAAATAATAATGAGTTAGCATTTGGCAATGTTTGGATGACGTCATAACTTTAACTGCAAGTATGGTCCTACCAATGCTAAATGGGAAAATTTGTACACACCAGTATACTTACCAGGTTACATTATTACCGCATTAGACTTTTTGATAATAATAGTTATAATTTAAGAAAAGACTAAAAATAATATAAAGTTAAATAAAGGAGAATCATTAACATCACCACGTCAATGATCCTACTGCTGAACCGGTTTTGCTTATGGATGTAATCGAACAGAATAGGGAGAACAGGCCATGGATTGGCAAAATTTAACGACTTCAGATGCAGTTACGATTAAACGAATTAATAAACATTCCGAAGCACGGAAGAGCTACATATAGTAAAAGGTCACCCATTCTATGAGCTGCGCCTATGATAGTTGCTTAACTTCCTTATTCCAATCAAAACGCGCTAACCAATGTGCCGTCTAGTGCCATTGTTAATTCAAACATTTACTTTATTGATCTCGTCTTCAGAACTACTACATGTTTTTCGTAGCAGCATATCGTATTTTTTTATGTTGAAATTGGGTGAATCTCGAAAATTGATAGTAATTTATCGATCTCTAATAAATATAAGTAATTGTATATTATAACAAAGTCAAACAAAATATTTTTATTGAAGAAAATTTATTTTAATTCGTTTTGAATTCTCCAACATTTATTTTTCAGGACAGTACAGTTAGTTGTCTTAGTATTCATTTATGACTACAAAAATATATATATTAGACACTATTAGATACCTATATCTGAACGCTGCCATATCTTTTACTCAAATTCCTAATTAAGTAGCTAAATACAGCACTAACTAATTTTTATATATAAATATATTTTTTGTGAAATTCACTTTTCTTAATTGTCTTGTGTGCTATTGTAAATTAAGCAAAGTTTATCAATATGGTGTGATAAAGTAAAAGATGTAAACTGGTGCCAACTTCAGCTGACCAACCTGAGATTTATTTATTTATAAGATCGTTTAACAATGTTTAGTATAATAAAGCCAATAACCTAAAATCTATAGTGCCTCTAAGTTTGTCTTTACTAGGAAATCAAATATCTATTTATCAGTTGTTTAACTTAAATAGATTTTGAATTATGAAGGGGTGAAAAGTGGCTCCAAATATTTAATATAAAAGTTATTATATACGGTGCTACTAGCCAGTTTGTCTATATATTTTATATAAATTATTATATTTAGTAGCTTTAGAGTTATTTGCACTAGAATTGGTGTCCATTTTACTGTTCTACTCTCCATTTGATTTGCCGGCAAAATTTGCCGAACGATCTGACAGTCATGAATTTAGATTAGAGAGAATTTGAATGAAAACAATTTGGAGGTTTCGCTTTTTAATATCGATACAGGGATTAAACCTTATCGAACTTTAATTTATTCTAGCAATTTGTGTACCGATAGACTTTTTTATTAAATCCTTTTAAGCTTTTTTTTCTTATTATTCATTTACGGATGAGGTAAAGCTGACCTTAATAACTTAAAAAAAAATGTTATCAAAATTAGATCAATTGCTTAATGTTTTATTAGTTAAGTAATCGTTATATTATATTTAAATAAGTTAATATTTTTTTATGAAAATTCAACACAGAGTTTTTTACATCACCATGTTTCAACTATAATTATTTACATTTCCATTTTTTCGTAATATGATATTTTGTGGTAAAATACTTAAATCTAAGTAAGAAGTTTTTTCGAATTACTTTATTTTCCTACTTTAATAATAATAATAATAAATCTTTATTTCACTTTTAAAATTACAGACAATGGTGACTATTTTAAGAAATTACAAGGAAATTTATGTAACTTAGTAATATGAGCCACATCTCCCAAACTAGGGTCAACCTGTATTTTGGGAGTTGCGATTCCTCCAAAATCGTTTATTTATATATCCTTGAAACCATTTTTTTTTTATAGTGATCAAGCTTGTTTATTATTTACGTGTATTCATGCGTGTGTAAGTTTGTGTGTGTGTGTGAGGTGTGTGTTGAGTGTGTGTGTGGTGTGTGTGTGTGTGTGTGTGTGTGTGCAATTATGTGTACTTATGCGCGTTTTATATTTACTTTAAAAGACTTTCTGTTTCGTGATAATTTAAGGTTAGAAGCTTATTTTGTACTATTTGCTTTACTGTGTGTTTTAGTTTGCCATTTATATCATCTGTTTTGTTTATTTTATTGTACAGTTTTGCGCTAAGGGCAGTATATTGGTGTTTTGCCCATGATGTCCTGCATGTATCCTGTGAGCAAACCACAGCTCCCCTTCGTCTATTTGTAGTGTCCGGCTTGTAAGTTAATGATTGGTGCTTTTGAAGGATTGTCCTAAGAATATAGAGCTGTCTTACTGTAAGCACTTGTGTTTCGGAGTACAATTTATCAGTCGAATATGTTCGTTTCCTAAAGGTCATAACTTTAAGAATCGCCCGCTGAGCCCGTTCCAATTTTAGAAGATAGGTTTTGTTAGCACCACCCCAAACAGTTAAACAGTAGCTAATAATTGATTGGCAGAGACCAAAATACACCATAAGGAGGGTTCTGTTATCAGCTGAGTGCCTAAGGTTTTTGAAAATATAAATTAGTCTTCTGACTCTTGTTGAAATTGAGCTAATTTGAACCTTCCAGTTAAGCGCATCATCGAGGTAGACACCCAAATAATTTACGTTCTTTACAATATTAAGCGTCTTGCACATACATGAATCCATGTCAGACCCAAGGCAACTGTGTATTTTTATATCCTGGGGAAGAGCTGAAGCTGATTTCTTAGTTTTGCTTATATCAAATTGTATAGCCTGTGATTTTTCTATATTCAGAGTTAGTAGGTTTATGGATAACCACTGACTAATACTTTTAAGCGCCTTTTCGGCATTGTATTTTGCTGTGATCCAGTCACTACCGTAGACTAGAAGAGCAGTATCATCAGCATAAGCAAAGATACTACAGTTATGAAGCGATAGACGGCATAGTTCGTCAATATATATGAGAAACAGCAAGGGACCTAGAATGCTTCCTTGTGGGACACCATAGTTAATATAGTTTTGATTACTTACTATTGACCCGATTTTAACACTTTGAGAGCGCTGCGTTTGATAACTGGTAAAAATAGCTAAACTGAGACCTCGTACGCCATAGTATTCTAGTTTTGTTAATAGTAAGGGAACAGAGACTGTGTCGAAAGCCTTGGATAGGTCTAGGAAAATGCCGTAGCATTTGTGCTTGCATTCAATATTCCTAACTAGAGCATTCACAAAATTCAATACAGCGTCTTCTGTAGAAACATTGCGTCTAAAACCAAACTGATTTGTAGATAGAAGTTTATACTTTTCGAGATATTTAACAAATGAAGAGTTGAGGTATCTTTCTAGTATTTTCGATAGAGTAGTTAGGACAGAAATAGGTCTATAATTAGAAACACAGTCCCTGCTACCCTTCTTGTGAATTGGGTGAACTATAGCATGTTTCAGAGCTCGAGGAAAAATCCCATGTAAGATACATAGGTTGAATACATAGGCCAACACCGGGGCTAGTATAGCACAGGATTGTTTAATAATCCGAGAAGATATTCCATCCCATCCAGGAGCACAATCACTGCGGAGACCCATTATTAGGCTTCTGACTTCAATTTCGTCAATAGGAAGAATGACAAATGTATTGTTATGACGGTTGTTTTTCGAAATATGATCAACAGTGAGTGAAAATGTAGGACGAACAATCTTTCCAGCCAAGTCTTCTCCAATATTTGAGAAATAATCATTAATAAAATTCAAAGATGTTTTATTGTCTTTCTTAATGTTCAGGAGGTCATTGGGGATATTATTAGAATTCTGCGTATTAGTAATATTTTTGATGACCCTCCACAACTCTTTGGGTTTATTTTTTGCCTTTTCTAACTGTTCTTTTTCATAAGTAATTTTCAGTTTTTTTATAAGATCATTACAGAAGTTCCGGTATCTGCGATAAGTAGTCTGGAGAATATAGTTATCAGGTGCTTTTCTCATCCGAAGGTGCATTGCATCGCGATTTCGAATACATCGCAGTATACCAGGTGTTATACAAGGTTTTATTATTTTATTTTTTCTCGAGACTCTCTGATTTGTTGTATATTTATCTATCGTAGTTTTAATTATATTAATTAACGAATCGATACATTTTTCTGGATCTTTGTTCATTAGTATTTCACTGTAATTGAATTCATCTAGTTCTTTTTTTATTTGCTCATATTTATAGGTAATCACATTGTTATGAGATAAATTATAATTAGTTTTACCTAGTTTCAGTGAAAGCACAGTAGGATAATGATCAGTAATGTCTGTCTGAATGACTGCTACTTTGGCTTTTAGTTTTGTTTTTAGAAAAATGTGATCTAGGCAGTTTTCTAGACGAGTTGGTAAAATATGTGCTGGAAGAAACCCCATAGAGGACATGAAGGTCAGATATTCTTCATATTGGCGACTGGAGCTATTGTTTTTTATATCAACGTTCAAATCACCAATTATTGTAATAGTTGGAAATTTTAGAGAGTCAACAATATTTTCTATGTCAGAGTAAAAATTATCTAAATCAGTATATGACGGTGACCTATATACTGCGATTATAGCTACGTTATCTACACAACATATCAGACAATTGGCATCACGAATAGACGGTTCTCTAATTGTATGGCTTAAGATAGATTTTATATAAAGGACAACACCATCATTCTGCAGAAGATTGTTTTGTGTTGAATATAAATTATATCCCTCCAACTGAGGAGGATTGCAAATAAACTTCAACCAGCACTCCGACAGAATAATAACGTCGAATTGTACTTTGGTTATTGCCATAAACATTATGAAATTATCAAAGTTTTTGTTTATACTTCTTATATTTACATGAATAATTTTAAGGGATGAAATATTGTGAACATAATTATTACAACTCTGAGGGTTACAATAGTTTGATTGTGCAATGTGATAGTTGTCAATGTCATTAAATATGATAGCCATTTATTATTCCAGTCGTTCTCATAACAGTGATGCAGTAAATTACTACATCAATTGTGAAGTTCAATTTTAAAAGGCTAAGGTACAAAAAGCTCTTTGAAATACTTGTTCTGAATGGTTTTAAATATATCTTTTGAACAACATTGAAAATAAGACGAAATATAACGAAGCATAGTCGCATGAAAAATGTGCTTAAAGTGCAGATAAGGTTGTCTAGCATATAGTGGATTTTAAGTCTTTTTGCTGCAAGATATTGTAATTGAGTGTGGGTAGTAATGTGTATAATTTTGTTATATTTGTGTATAAATGTATAAGTTCTTTTTGTTGAATTTATTGTTTGATTTGATGATATTTTAGTATATTTTGTTAAATTTATAAAGTGTACTATAATAGTAACAAGCTTATGTCGGAATAAGTAAGTTAAATAGACACTGCTCCGTTCTAATATGGATAAATTTTGCATTAGAGTCTCTGCGGAGGAGTACCTTGCCCCCCGCCACCCAACAAAATTTGTAGCCCTGGGCTTTAGCAAACTCACGAGCGCGAAAAAGAAGTCTACGGGTTGAGTAGGAAAGATACTCATCCACAAAAATCGGTTTTATTTCTCCACTTATTCCGATATGTCCATAATTTAATTTTTGCGATATTTGTTTATCCTTGTTGAAGCCACGAGCGGATCTGATGAATGCATCTTTCATTTGTACCGAGTTGAATTCCGCCACAATTGCTTTTATTGCACCAGGTTTTCCAGGTCGTCTATAAATATCTCTGATGTCATGGTCCGTGATGGTAATATCTAATGTGGTTGCAAGTTTTTTAACCGTAGCTATTAAATCACTCTCTGATTCTTGGCTTGTTCCAGGTACATCCCTGATTTCTATAGCTGCAGAACGACTACGTTGTTGTAACTCCTCAAGTTGTTTTTCCATCGAAATTATATATTCTCTGTTTAAGTTCTTTTCTACCACTAGTCTTTCAACTTTAACTTTCATTTCCTCGTGTTGAGTGTTCAAAAAAGTCAACGTATTGTCAATTTCCGCATTTGTTTTTTGAATTTCGGTACACTGGGTTTTTAGTGCATCAATTTCAGTAATAAGTTTTGATAGTGTGGTCTGTTGCTCAGCTTTCCAAGAGTTCAACATAGACATCAACTCCTGTTTAAAATCTTGTAAACTGAGATGTTCCGTTTCTAACATTACACATTACACTATACATTTATATCACTTCTAATCTATATTCTGTTATTTCACTAGTATCAGTGCGGATTGGTGGCAAATATTAATAAATTAAAAGAGGTTATTTATTTACCCTTACTATATGTTTGATGTAGTAAGGGGTTTAGTTACTTTTTAAACTAATTGATTTCCACGTTGATTTTGTTATACTTTTGCAAAAACTAAAAATACAGCGTTTGATTATTATGAAACTGCAACTCAATTATTTAATAAAAATATTTTAATATTAATTCTATTCATAATACTCTGTCATTTGATTAAACTTTCTAGAGTTACAGAGCTTTATTTTTCAGTTTGTATTTTACTCAAGCGCTGAGATAAGCTAATAATAATAAAATTCATTACATAATATTTAACTTAATGAATCATCGAGGAGATAAATCAAATTAAAGAAAACTCAACTGGAGATATCATATCTCCAATCACATTCCCGCAGGAAACTGTAGTTACCGTTGGTTAATTTAATAAAACAAATTTCAAATAATTTAGTGAAACACATTCACCTTTGCTAGCAATGAGTTTAATATCTTTCGTAATATATTCAAGATTGTTGAAACCCTTTCCCACATATTAAGGATATACTGGAATACAAGATAAATTGCGATGGGCCTGACTATTTACACGTGGGAACTTGCCGTAATTTATTGTTTGAACGCTTGCTTCAGATACTCACGTGCTTATATATATTACAAATACCGATAAAGCTAGCGGGTACCTGTATATTATATTTTGCAGTACATATTTAAGCCGCTTCAAAGTTAAATCATTAATAAATATTATATTAACTTAACATTATTCGTTATTTGCTTGTTGAAAACTAAGTACATATTTAAGCCGCTTCAAAGTTAAATCATTAATAAATATTAAATTATCTTAACATTATTCGTTATTTACTCGTTGAAAACTAAGTATTAATTCCAAATACATAAAGCTGGAGTCGAGACATAGGTCAACTAGAAGGTTCTTCCATCCAAAACCACGACTGCCAAAATAGAACTTAATATAAAAGAAACAAGTTCTATTATGGCTTGCCTAAACAAAATTCTCATTACAGTCGGAGTACCCCCGATGGCAAGCCATAATAGAACTTATTTCTTTTATTTTTAGTTCGATTTTGGCAGTCGTGGTTAATCTTAAATTATTTTTTTTATTTTTTTTTCCTTTTAGTGACCAGTAAATGCATACAAGTTGTTTATTTTTGGAATACTCATCAAGAGCTTTAATTTGATATCTATTTTGCTATAATTAAAGAAAAAAAGAATTTCATATTTATTTTTAATGGCGTCATACGTCTGTCATATTGAAAATGAAAGAAATATACAGCCTATGGCACTCGGGATGATGTAACGTTCCTAACTTAACGGGTATTTATGTATTGTATCATTATACAATACATAAATACCCGTTAAGTCTATCAAAAGTTATGGTGGAATAAAGAATCTTTCATACCCAATAAAATATACTTCTTCTAATAAAGTTTAAAAAATAGAACCGACTTCAAACTTAAATTAAGTGAACATAATACTTGTCTCAAAAGCGACTTATTCAAGAAAATTCAATATTCAAGAATTTAAGTGGGGCGTAGGTTTTCTGTAGGTTATTATTATTTAAACAATAGAAGCCCGACTTCAATACACACATTTAAAATGCTAACCTCCATATTTTAAATCGTCTAATACACCTTAAATTTTAAGGTGTATTAGCATCAAAATCGGTTCAGTCAAACACCAGATAATCCCGCACATACGTACATACATACAGGTTAAACTGAGAATCTCCTTTATTTGAAGTTGGCTTTCACTAAACTTAGTTGAGTTTCCCAAATCTGACACCAAAATATTTGGGCATTGTCAAAGATGAAAATACGTTTCACCAATGACAAGGAGACAACTAACGACTTTGAGCAATGCTTAAAGTTAGGACATCATGTATTGTGCGGCGCCTAATGCTGGGCATTTGCGTAATAAGACATATACATTTACTCTTTGGTCATAATAGATATGTCAAGAGATAAAATTAATATAGTAAGTTGGAATCAAGAAGTTTTTTTATATTAGAATTATGATATAAACAATGAGATTGTCTGAATTTTCGGACTTTTTATATTGACGCATTGACGACTTAGGTGCTCATGTAGATACAAGACGTTGTATTATTTTTCTTGTTTTATTACCTCAAAATTTAAAATGTCGTTATTTCTCTTTAAGTGTAAAGGCCACTAACGTGAAATTGGCGAAAACATGTAAACGCAAATAGGCCATACATTAAAAAAAGAAGAGGAACTGAAGCATGCAGTCATAGACAAACGTTGCCTACTTAAGAAAGTGCTTAGTAAGCATTAACCTAACGTTATAACTTTGGTGAAACGAAAAATATGCTTAAGCTATTCTTATTATTAAGTGATTTCTAGTTAAGGGGTTCGATGCTTGGGCGAATTAATGAAAGGCAGACTAAGCTTGAGGTCTTGATTTTATTATACGGTAATAAAAAAGAAGAAAAATAACTGAAACAAAACAAAAAATTAATATAACAGTTCATATGATTACTTAAATATAATTAAAATTGTTAAATAGAACAAATACATACCCCGTTTCTGGGTTTTCTGTAATAGATAGAACTTGGACGATGTTTCACGAAGATATACATTTAAATTAAAATTTTTCTTATTTAAATTATAATGACTTAATTATTTTTAAACTTTTATATTTAAATTTATATGATTACCTTTTACATGATTTATATAATTATCATGTTCACACCAGATGATTTTTTACGAGGTGACATTCATAAAGAGCATATTGGATAAGTCAAAATTTCAAATTACGAAAGGTGAATAATAAAAAGAAATGATATTGAAGAATCAAAGACAAAAAGTTTGCATGCGGATATCTAGGATGAAATAAACGGTCAGTGGTACGACGCACCATTACAAAGGTTCGTGGAAACGGGCGTAAGTTACATAATTTTTCGATTAAGTTGAATCAATCTTACATAATGAAACAAACTTGGTTAATTTTCTGTCCCAATTAATTTTCTCTCATCAAAATTCAATTCTATTTCTATTACATTTAACTTGTGCGGTAAACAATCGAGAGTTACTTTAAAGGTTTCGTTCTTTCTTTATAAGGTATAGAACCCTAAAAAAATCCTTATTAGAATTTTTCTTCTATGTCTGTATATTTGTGCAACCATGATATACTATTTGTACCTTCTTCCCGCTACGCACAAAGGTATCAAGTTGAAATAAGGTATAAATTGTGAATCTCTAGAGGTCCTGAAAAAAGCCATCGATAAGTCAACGCAACCAAACAGCCTGCTTACGTCGCATATTTTATCATTCTCAAGAGAATAAAGACGCAAGTTAGGTACTATTGTTGCTCTAGAATCATGAATTTTTGTAAGATAGAAATATCATATCAAATTTTTTAAATGTATTATTATTCCAATATATCATGCTTATACAGTCCTTAACAGTGAATTGCAAGTAAGCTCTAACATTTTTGGTAATGAAGATAGGTTTTGTTCCTTTAATTATCCGACGGATATTGAAATTTATTTCCAAAAATTGCCTTCATGTCTAAAAAAAAAATTATTTCGATTGAAACCAAAATCAAAAATTCAATAACACATATCTAGTTTATAGATATGGTTGATTTATTACAATTATATGCTATAAAAATGATAAAATAAAAAAATACTGTTTACTTTATATTGTACAATAGCTAAAGATAATTATCTAGATAAGAATCTTATTTTGACTACAAAAACTGCGCATCGATAAATTAATATTTCATAAAAGACTGTTTTAAATGGCGTGTTCTGTTTATGTTCTTTAAATTAAGGATGGGGTAATCAATTGACGGTACTAAATATCTATCATTTGAAGACATTAATTCTTAGACATAATTAGTTTCATTATATCTATATGAAATCTGACATGGGACCGTAATTATAGTTTCCGATATCAGTTCACGTTTGTAAACAGTAATCTGTAATAGTAATAGTTCACCTCGAGTACAAACATTGTTGTTAAGTTTATCAAAAGAGTCACTACATTTCTAGCTTTTACATGGTACACAAGTCTTAAAAGCATTTCCTGCTACTAGATGGTTAAATATATAATAATTTACAGTATATAAGCAATATACTGCGGTTTTAGAAAATTTATTAATGTGCACATAAAAGATATTTTGTAGATAATTAATTTACTTAGATAATACATCTCGAAAATCTTAGAATATTTATTTTGCGCTATTTGTGTGGCCAAGTCTAATTTGGTCTTTATATTCCGATAATATGTTAACATATATTACATCTCTCATGCCCATTGAAATATTGCTGAAAGTTTTGCTTTATAAATTTTTAACATATTCATATTGTATAACATTAGTGTCAGAAAAAATATTGGAGTTCCCAATAAACAACAGCTTTGTTTATATTTCACCAAAACGGAAAGAAAGCATTGAATATCAATTACTTAATGTATCAGAAATGGGATGCTCAGATTATGTGGTATGTGTTCAGGATCCCAAGAGTTTTATGGTCGCTTTTGACAAAGTTGTTCATATGGGATATGTCAGACGAAGTGATCGAAAAATAATTTTCATACCTTATGAGGAAGGTTATGATACAAAAATGAAATTGCTTGATATATTAAATATAAACGAGACCAAATTTGTACCAAATATATTGCTTATATTACCAGGCGATAAATCAGAGAACTGTGATTTATATGATTTAGTCACACACAATTACGGTGGACCTGATATAGAAAGTAACCAACCTTATTTAATGGATAAATGGAACTCATGCTCGCTTGAATTTGAGAAAAATGTAAACTTGTTTCCCAATAATATGTCTAATTTGAAGGGTAAAACTATCAATGTTGCTTCTTTTACATATAAACCTTATGCGTTACTAGATCTTGATAAATCTATAACACCACTTGGTCGTGATGGCACTGAAGTCAGACTAGTGGATGAATTTTGTAGGTATGCATGACAATTATTTACATTAGTTAGGGCCAATTTCATCACTTGCTGATAAAGTCCTTTATAGTCCATCATAAACTTATCTGCCAGATAAATTGCAAATTTTGGTTTCATAAGTCTCAGATAGAATTATCAGTGACTTTTAATTGTCATATAGCGTTATATGTTAGATAACTATCTGGTACTTTATTAGCAAGTGGTGAAACAGGTCCTTAATTATTTAGATAGTATTATTGTAGATATACAAATAATATGTAAAAATAAAATTCATGTAAACTATTATAGGTGGATAAACTGCACAATTGAACTAATTGAAGATGATGTAAATGCATGGGGTAAGATATATTCTAATAGAAGTGGAATCGGAGTCCTCGGGAATGTTGCTATGGATAGAGCTGATATTGGTATAGGTGAGTGAGTTCTAAATTAATAATCGTAATGGTATTCATAATGTATTGTTGGTTAAAATCTTAGATGACCATTGTCTTTTATTTCAGATGGAATCTTTCCTTGGTATGACGCATATGGTTATTTAGATTTTTCGTCTGTCGATATACGAACTGCTGTAACTTGTATGGTTCCATCACCCAGGTGATGATATATACCAGCAAATGATATGATAATAGAAAGTAATAGAGATCTAAGAGTACTCATATTATTTTGAACGAGTAATTTTGCAATTGCAATAGGATTTTACAGTCTTTTGTCAGATGCATCTTTATTTATTAGTATTTTAATATAAAAATATATATCCATGTATGAATTAGGTAGTTTATTGTGTGTGACTATGATATGTGTTTGTCAGGGGTTATGTGTTATGGTATAAGTATATATTAAATGTCTGTACATTTTTGTTAATAAATCTTTATTTTAAATGTGCACCTACTCGCATTGGTTTCCCCCACAACATTCTAAGGTTTCATGGTAAAAAATGCCTAAGGCATTAAGTCTGCCATCGTACTTAAAATGTGCATAGAGTATTAAATAAATAAACAAATGAATGTAACCTACAGTGTATTTATAAAAATCGTTTCCAGGTTATTAGATGCATGGAAAATGCCCTTGAGACCTTTCACTTGGTTTATGTGGATAGTTTTATTCTTCACTTTTATATATGAGTCTATTACGCTTATGACTGCTCAAGGATTCATTTCAGACAAAGTATTTCTATCTACATTTGGCATGATGTTATCGCAGGTGAGAATATATGAAAAATATATTTAAAGGCGTTAATCTATTTTGATAATCATTGTATCCATATTACATTTATTTAATATTTAATAAACAAAAAGTTGCTGAGTTGAAACTCATTGCTCTTAGTTTAACACCGTCCTGCGAATAATTAATTTATAGTAACTATTTAGTGTTCTGTATTGAAAAATCAAACGTAATTTTAAAAATTGCTATTCGGTTCAAAAGCCTGAACTGCAGAAATAAAGATTGATATAAATAGCGTTGATGATTGCTTACATGCAGTCAAACATTGTATAATAGGAAATTAAGTGGCATGAGTCCCAGAGAATAGGTACACTATACCCTCTCGTTTATGATGGTCTTCAATTTAAACTGAAATTGTATAAAAAGTATAGTATGAGTATCGTATGTTTTTAATACTTACAGTCTCTACCTAATGTTGGTACTACTTGGCGCATTCGTAGCGTCACTGGCTGGGTGCTTATCACTGGCCTGATAATAGACAATGCTTATGGTAGTGGTCTCGCATCTGTGTACACCGTTCCTGAATATGAGAAAACTATTGATACAGCACAAGATATAGTCGATGGAAACATAGAGTGGGGAGCCTCTAATGAAGCATGGATATATTCTCTCACTAGTTCTACTGAGGTGATATTATATTTTTTGAGAGACATACGACTCATATATATATTTCATATTCACGCTACTTCAAATAGTTTTAAATTTTTTCAGCCATTAGTGAAACAGTTGCTTCGACAGTTTCGAGTATTTCCTCCGGAAGTATTAACAAGGAAAAGTTTGAATAGGTCTATAGCCTTGTCTATAGAAAGATTGAGTTCAGGTAAGAAATTAACTCAATTAATTATCAAAACTATACAATGCCAAATAAAAGGCAAGAGTAGGATAATAAATTAATAGCAATGATGATTAATTTACATGAGAATCTATAATAAATTACATAGGTACCACAAGATTGTTTTAAAATATCATGTTTCCTTTTTTATTTATTGACCAATATAACCATTGATCGCACTTCCAGGTAACTTTGCCATGGAGGATTATATAACTAAGGAAGCAGTTTTGGATTTAACTGTCATGCAAGATGATTTATATTACCAGTATTGTTTAATAATTTTGCGCAAGAGTTCGCCATTCACTAACAAAATGAATCAACTTATTGGACGGTTACATGAATCTGGACTATTGTTTGCCTGGGAAACGCAGGTCGATTTATAATATATATTTAAAATTTTAATACTCATATAAATTTTAGATTTATTTATTTCATTGATTTTTTAGGTGGTAATGAAATATTTTAATCACGAATTGCAAGTGAAAGTGAAATTATCTCGGACCAAAAAGACCGCTTATAATATTGAGTCACTTGGTCTCCGACATGTTTCCGTATGTAAATCTGCAAAATTTGAACTTATATTAACTATAAATACTCCATATAAAGGCTAAAAAATATTATCCAATCCAATGTAAACTAATTGACAGTACATAATCAACTACAAGGGATCGTCTCAAGAAGACTGCAACTCGTTAATAATTCTCAGTTGGGTTGTTCTGATACTCCCTTGATCAACAAGTGGTAATACACGTTCAATGATTTATCACTACAATAGACGCACGCCTCATTGGTTAAGTAGTTTCAATGAGTAAGCAACGTCAGGTCAACAAGTATGGGTGGTTTGAAGGATACTATAATAAATTTCCATTTTAATTCATCTGAAATATATATACTCAACATTTTGATTCTGTAATTTTAGTAATATTTTTTAAAGGGTTATCTGCTTTAAAATTCCGGTGGACTTTTGTATTCTAGAGATTTTTCTAATGATCTGCCACCGACAGTAAAATTTTTGAGCTGAACAATGGTGTCGTTATTACCTGACTTCTTCGTGAAGAATTCGTCAAATATAGACGAATATTTATTATAAGAGCGTTTGCTAGGAAGAACGTATTATTTAGTTTCGATTTCTGTATGGAATGGAATTTTCTTGGCATAATTCTGGTAGCGTCTCGTTTTTGTTCCTAGTTTTCAGATTAATTTATGTAACTTTTTACAGATTTCTCAAAATACGTTTATATTTTTCAGGGCATTTTTATACTGTATTTAATTGGGATGACCGCTTCTGTTCTATTGTTTTCTGCAGAAATCATGATGAAAAGAAGATTACATGATATGGGAGATTAGAAAAATAACGCACCGAGACTTCTTCTCTTTCGAACTGCCAATGTATTGGCACCTTTGTAGTCGGATGGCAATAAAAATAAAAGACAATAAATATTAATATATTTTCTTTGTTGTGTGTTTATTAATAACAGTAATATAGTACATTCAGTCTGATCAGACAAGACCTAGGCGAAGTTCAATTAAAGGGAAGTTATGATCTAGTAACTTCTTCATACAGTCAGTACCTACAAGACCAACTATAAAGCGGCCGTCAACCTACAAATAAATTCACAAGCACAAGCGGCAGCAAATTTCGCACCAACTACCGCGCTATAGGTATTTCACTCCTCCCGGAACGTTTTTAGAAGTCGTTAGACCTTACCTGTTGTATACAAGCAATAGTAATGTCAGTTATTCAGATTACCACAGAATCTATTTACGCAATAGATTTTGAGTATAATTATCGACTACAATAAATGGTAACTAAGACAGTTTTGTGGCGTAAATAATATAACCTGGCGTGGTTTTAATTAAAAATCAAATTCAGTAGATTTTTTATGCGGTGACCTGATGCATCTGTATAAATGAGAATGTATATGGCACGTTGAGAACGATAGTGACACAATGCAAAAAATGCGATTTTTAGTAATGAGCGTTTAAAGTTCAAGAAATTGTAATCAGCCCCTTTAAACAACGTATCGTCACTACGCCACCAAGCAGTTTCTATGCAAGCTGCGTTTACAGGGATCTTTGCATTTTAAAGTTTATACTTAATAAAGAAAAATGTTGTCTAAAGTAAAAAATACGTCGTTTTTGGTTAGTGACATTGTCATTCTCAACGTGCGACATATATATATATATATATATATATATATATATATAGTAGAAAGAAATTTCAAATTGGTCTTATGATTTAAACAATGAAATCAATGGAATTGAATAACTTGCACGGATGATTTTTGGTTTAAACAGGGTCACATTCGGAATTCTAGAATTTAAAATGGATTTTATATATTACATTCATTTTCGAATTGCTATTCAGGCAACGCGCGTCGCCTCTTGGATGAAGTCGGGGCATCACAGTTCCGGGAAATCTCATTCTAAATCAGCTCATGGACAGTATAATAATCAAAGGAATGACAATCCTGAAGATAGTTTTTGCAAGGTATTAAGTTATCTATGGGCTTACTTAGAAAGCTTATAAGGCTTTCCATACTAGTAATGGATTCTACTTAGTTTAGTATTAGTTCCTTAATATGGAATTATAAAAAAAAAAATCCTTTGATTATGCGTGATTGATTTTTGAACCTGGAATGTTGAACATTAGGACTTGCCATGATATACATGCCCTTGCCCTGATGGAATCTGGTGAAAAGCATTATATCATGTATGAGTAAAATACTCTTGGTCGCAGACTATATCCTCTAGAAGGCGAAATTACTATTTCATGTGGACTATGACAATAGGACTAGGATAATAGGACTAAAATTAATTAACATTTTGTGTTGACTTATGTAATACTAGCTTTCTGTCAGCGGCTTCACCCGCGTGGTCTTGTATTATACATAAAAAATCTTCCTTTTGACTCACCCTATCTATAAAAAAAAACGCATTAAAATCCGATGAGTTGTTTTAAAGATTTAAGCATACACAGGATATAGGGACAGATAAAGCGTTTTTGTTTTATACTATGTAGTGATTTCCGGCTTATTCTACTATCTTACACTCACGAAACAAAACCTGTATTACAGTTCTAACTTATTGGTGGTCGAAGCATTTTTGCCTTATTATCATTTTTCCCCAATATTAATGAACTTTAAATCAAAAGGGCAATTTGATTTTATTAACCCATTTGTCAAAAAGGGCATAATTATTATTGACCAGATTATCCGGTCGTCCATAATGACTTAAAGTCATTTATCACTATTTATAGTCCAAAGCTTAAAATCTGAAACCAACTTTGGCGATGTGGCTTTATCATCTTAATTGTAATTTTATTCGTCAATGAATATCCAATTTCAAGTCTCCAACTTATTGTAGGTTAAGCTAGTAATCTGAAATTGGCTTGTGGTGATTGATCACCCGATTTTGAAAGTAATCTTCATGATATTTTTGTATTTATAAACATGCCATATATCATCGCCGCAGTTATATGCATACAAGCAAAAAATGTCTAAAAATATTTAAGTATTTAATTCTTTTTAAAGAGTAAAGTTATAGTATAAAAAGTTCATTTACATTATACGATTAAAATTTAATTCTTCATCATTGTTCAGTCAATTGAAATAAACCTTAAATGCATACATCTGTTAGTTGTAAGTATTTAAGTTTTATCTACTAAATATAGAATGAGCTAATCAATGTTTTATAGTATTGGCGCGCGAGAGGCACATGACGGCGACCTCTTACGAACTACATACATTCGACGTCACTATAACCCTACTTGGCTCTTTGACTTCTTGGCTGTGAGACGACCGCATGAGCGAACAACGTCGCGATTTACTTTAAATACAGCACCTACAGTATACAGTCCGTCTTTTATTCAGTCTCAAGACCCTTCAATAGTTTCAAGTTACGTACCGGGATAACTGTAGGTACAAAATTGATTATCAATTTTTTTGTAAAATCTTTTTTTATTTTTACCTCTGATATTAGTAGATTAAAAAAGAAAGAAAAAGCTTAACCCCGTACACAGATATGAACACAATTTTTAAATTTGTGTACTGACTACAACTTTTTCCTGTGCGTATACATTGAAAAAGTTTCATCAACATTGAGAGAGAGCTGACAAAAGCAAGGACTCAACAGTGAACTGATTTAGAAAGTTTCGCAGCGATCCTGTCCCTGTTATGCCCAACTCGCATAATAAAGGGCACAACTTCAACCTTTAATTTGGCCACTTTCGACATTTCAAACTCTAGATATTAAAACACCGAGGACAAGAGTTATTATCATGTAAGCATGTATTATTCGGCCATAACATCAGAATAGCCGAAACTCTTTATTGGTATTAGTTTATTTTTTCTTTGCAATCGCGTCAGCGTGGATTTAATGTTTGTTATCTCTTGGAGAAACTTTGAGAAGGATAAGAAGCATCTTATATGCAAATCCCTGCCTATAAACTCAGTGTGTTCATAAATATTCAATCCCATTATTAACATAACATATACAAAAATTCACAAGTCTCGCAACGAAGTTCTTTTGACGTATAAAGTTGTAAAATTTAATGAAGCTTAATAGACATAAACAGCCAAATAGTATCGGTTTTTGTGCAAACCTGTTTAGTTAAGAGAAATTTTTTATAAATTTAAATTAAAACAAACCATTTCATAAAGAACATATTTATTTATATCGGCCTCATAGAAATCTTTATCCCTGTAATCTTGAGAGGTTATTAACTTGCGTACCTACTACGAAATTATTCGTTGGATAAGATAGGATTTTCAATCGGATGAACCTGCAATACTCAAAGGCAGACAAAGAGAAATTTAATTTGAATTCATATTTGCATCTGCGGTACGGTTTTCTACTTCATTTCTTAAATATTCATATTTATGACTGAAATCATATTCAATGATTTATCAATCTTATGAGCTTGACTTCCATCGTGAATAAATATAATGTTATTATTTTATTGAAATCACACATTTTTATTGTTAAATAGCCAATATTCAGCCAACAAGTAGCACTCGAGGAAAAGATGCTTATCTTAAACCCCTCAATCAATGTTCTTAGTTGATAAAAAATGCCTTCTCCGTAAAGAAACGAGAGCACTTTAACACTCAGTAAATCAGACTTACATTAAGGAAAGCCTTATTTTATCCCATGAATAAGTACTGAATTTATGGTAGCATCGGAGGAAGATAATTTAAAAATTAACCGTGGCATTGAGAATGTATATATGTAGAGTAGATACTCTACCCATTTAATTCCAGAATAAAGTTAATACACACATCAACATCGTCTAAGGATATTTTGTATAATATTCTAAATTCAAATCAATACTGGGCGGTTTTAAAATCTTTTGATGAAAACTTATTTTGTACGCCTTTTTTAATGATTCCAAATTAGAATTAAAAATAAAATAATTTCATACAAAAGATTTGCGCGGCATAATTCAAGTGAAGTTCGAAGTTTTCAATTAACCTACCATAGTTTTTGAAAATTTTTTTGTGTTGATCGAAAGTTTTAAAACGAGTTAGCTGTTTAATTTGAATTTGTGCTACTGTATTCATTATGCAGCGATGCCATTTAACAGCAGAGGAAATGTTAAGTAGGCATGCTCCAAGCTGGGGCTGCTCAACGGAGTATTACTGAGGACATCGGAACAAAACAAAACGTGATATGACCGTTATGGTCACTTTATCGTGCTACTGGTGAAGTGACTGAAAGACATCTAGGCGGGAAGCGCGTAACCCAACGACAAGACCGCTTTTTGCAAATTGCTGCTAGAAGGCAACCAAATGTTACGGTCATGCAGTTGGTTCAAAGGCTCCAGTCAGAGTATCATGCTTGTGAGTGACCAAACTGTGAGGAGAATACTCGCAGACCGCTTCGTACTCCTGCTCTATGCCGAGCAAATCGTGGAAGAAGATTACAGTGGGCTCATGAACATTTGCTCTGGGAAGGTAGCCAGTGGCCTATAGTGCTGTTTACCGATGAGTCCTGATTCGGTTTCCATTCTGATTCGCGAAGAGTACGCGTATGGCGAACTCCTGGTCGTTTGAGCCGCCTGCAACATCCTCAGGAAGTCCATCTATACCATGGCGGGACGATTATGGTTTGGGTGGCAATTCGTGTTGGTGGAAGAACAGACCTCGTTTGGATCAGAAACACCATGACCGCTGAAAAATACCTCAACCAAGTGCTAGTACCAATAGTTTACCCACATCGACTACAAATGGGTCAAGAATTCATGCTCATGCACGACAATGCTCGTCCCCACACAGCGCGAGTGGTCACCAGCCGGCTGCCGGAGCACGATGTATCGGTCTTAGACTGTCCCGCGCAGTCACCAGACCTAAACCCCATAGTACACGCGTGGGACATGCTCCAAAGAAGGGCTTTGAGGAATTTACCTACAAACATTGTCACTGAAGAGCAACTTTTTTGCTTCTTTCCAGGACCTGGGACAATATCGTCGCAGGACCGCTGTTAACGTCATGTGTGGTTTACTGACTATTGATTTTCGCAAAATTGCAAATAACGGAATAATTTCGCTATACTTTTCACTTTTTCTTGAAAAACACATTTATCGTTATTTTCACCATTATTCTACTTTTCGTCTTTACTTAAATAATTTTAGATACTTTTTACTTTAGGTACAAAAAATATTTATGTTTTATTCTATAATCTACGTTAGTAAATGGGCTTTATAAAATATAAACATGTTGTATGTTATTCAGAAAAAAAATGAGAAATTTAAGAATAATTAAAATATCCCTAGACGATGTTGATGTGTGTATAATGCTTTGTATACCAATGTAAACATACCAATGTTCATACATCTACTATCAAGACACACTAACCGTGTATAAATAATTGTATCTCTTTAGAGAATCCTAGCAATTTTTTTAGGAAAAAAAGAGAAATGGGTCCCATTGCGTCGTCTCGTGAATAACGACTTTATACTTTAATCTGAAATATATCACCAGATTTTTATAAATAAAACTGTTGAAAATATTTCCCGGACATCTCGCTATCACTTAAGGTAGAATATTTTTCAGCATTTTTTTCTTTTTTTCCTAAACGCCTCCAGGGATTGGCATTTGAAAAGATTCCGACTTCAAATTATGAAAAGGCAAATTGGCTGGAGAATTTGTGAGCGCTAGAAACAAATTTAAAGAGCCTATAAAATAGAGAAGTGTAATTCGATAGTTGCTTCTTAACAAAAAGGATGAGATCTCAAATTTTCATTATCACCAAGGAAGGTTTTTATTGGTAATTGAATTATAATAATTTCATTTTATAAGAATTTTTATTATTCATACCTAACTACAGATATATTAGATTTTTCCTAGTTTTTTCCGACAACTTGATTTATAAATCATCTTTGTATACAGTTTGTATACAACCGTCTCGTTATTGGAGTTGCAAATAGCAAG